TCAAATATTTAACGATGCTATATGAGAATTTCTACGGATATTTTATTGTCATAGAACTCAACCTGAGAATCTTAATTCTTCAGTTAATGATTGAATAAAATCATTAACTGAAGATTTAAGATTCATCAGAAAATTCAATTAGGCAAACCGTAAAATGTTCACGGATGTTTTCTGTTTTTTATAAAAGAACTTAATCTCCAGCCGGACATCAGATCCATCCAATATACCTCTACCTTTAGAAGAGTCAGATTGGACCAAAAATGGAGTATGACTGCCATGTTTACTCAATCCTCACTTTCTAGCCTTAATGAAGTCAAAAAATCGTGTCCGCTGTCTTTTCCACTATGCAGCCTCTTACCCCACAGTCGCAAAGCTGCTACCATATCGCAACACTATCGCTATTTCTAAAGTAAATAATAAGATGATCTCCATTCTTTAGTTCCACCAGTTTAGCCATTTACATCTAGAACCCACCATACCACATCCATGGAATAGAATCATCCACATCTCACCCGTATTCCAATTGTAAGGCGGAAGTTCTACTCATGCAATTTTCCCCCGAGAACTACTAATTTGTGGAACAAGCTCCCGCGTGGAGGTTTCTTTGAACACTACAATCTTAATCTCTACACGTCAAGGGTCAATCGTTACTTATCCTCTTTATCCTCCTAATCTTCACGTCCTTCTAGCTCCCCTTACATTCATATTACACACCTCATTCAGTAATGCTCTATCATGGGAGGCTCTTGTGCCTTATATTGAGTGAACTTTAATAATAAAAACGTTTTATATTTATCACTAAAAATATTCAAAAAATCAGTTTTTATGCACTACTTCACTCGACTTGCGAATGACTTTGGGGTGTTTACTTAACTGTGCAGTAAAAATGGAAAATAATATAATATAAAATATTAAAAATCATTTACTAATTAAAAAAATGAAAATAAATCTTTAAAAGCAAAATTATCTTTCTTTCAAAACCCAACAGTGTAGAGAGAATATTTTTCAATCGATTTAACTATTCTAGAGCAGCACTTAAACTTTTTTCATTCATGACTCCATTTTTCATCACGAGATTTTTCGCGAAAATCATTTATTATTTTGATGAGCAATATATAGGCAATGACAAAAATATGCAGGTGGAGGCTTTAAGAAAGTTTTATTCAACCGAGAATACAAGGTTCGGTATAGTGTTCTTTTATAGTCCCAGTAAACAGAAATAGCTAGAGAAGAGTAACAAAACAAGAGGAGAACACTCTTGATTATTCATAACAATGCATATAAAAAAAAAGTAGTTATATTATTTGTCAAAATAAAAGTAGTTTTAGGATTTGTTTCAAGTACAAAAATAAACGGTTCTAGGAACATTCATTGTAAACATTTTTGCCGTAGGAAAATTCGCCTTGGAAATTTTCGCCGTAGAAAACTTTGTCCTATAGGAGTTTTGACGTAATACAATTTCGCCTCATTTTTTTTTTAATATACGAAGTACCTTTTTATTAAGTATATCTGGCTCACACTATTGTTACTTCGATTTAAACATTTTAATAAGCGAAGTTATACTCACATGCACCCAAATTTGTAGAAACTAATTGCTTATTTGAAAAAGGAAGCGATATTAGCAAAAAAGAAAAAGTGTGATTTAGATCGAGGAGATGCAGTACAAATGAAGAAAATATATTTTGATATCAATGCAAGACTTCGACGGAAAATACTTCATTACAGTCCAACGCAAAAACACGAAGCATTGCTTGGAATCTGCACATATTTTGAATTATTTCATTGTTAATTTGATATATTTAGTCTTTTATTTTTTAAATAAATGTTTACTTTTTAATTTCATTTCTAATGTTTGACCCTGTGAAAAAGACATTCATATATACTTGATAACAAGTTACTTCGCATATTAAATTGAACATTACTCCAAAAGGGTCGTTCGAAATAAGGGCATCGAAAAAAAGGGCTAAATTGTCTTGCGGCAAAAATCCTATACGGCGAAGTTTCATACGGCGAAAATTCCCGAACCGAGTTTTCCTACGGCAAGAATGTTTATGGCGAATGTTAAGTCATTTTCTCTACCACCGTTCAACCGGTGGCTGGGCATTAAGTCATTTATCTCTACCACCGTTCAACCGGTGACTGGGCATTAATTCATTTATCTCTACCACCGTTCAACCGGTGGCTGGGCATTAAGTCATTTATCTCTACCACCGTTCAACCGGTGACTGGGCATTAATTCATTTATCTCTACCACCGTTCAACCGGTGGCTGGGCATTAATTCATTTATCTCTACCACCGTTCAACCGGTGGTTGGGCATTAAGTCATTTATCTCTACCACCGGTAAAGCGATTACCAGTGCTCAAAGGGTTAATAATGGTATAAAATAAATTTTATGCAGGGGGTTTCCCTGTGACATGAGAACTATTTCAAAGGTCCATAAAGGTGAACGTTTTAAGAAACACTTGCAAAAAATTTACGGCCGATTAAGATTAGTTTTAAATTTGTGAAAGTTTTCTTAGTAAGAAAAATTCCCTAAGTATATATTCAAAATATGCGCGCGCAGGTATTGGGGATGGTGGCGTTATTCGCCATTTTTATCGATTGTGCTAGTTTGTATGTTGTCGCGAATTTAGCCAATGTTCTTACTCATCTGTCTTTTTTCTCACTGTTTACGCTGACACGACACTGGCTTCTTCAAATGTTCTTTTCTTCGTCAATCCACTTTTCTTGCTTGTTATTCTTCATTTTCATCCGAGCTCTTTGTGTGACATTCTTAAGACCTGTTACTTTCTGGTGTTTATCTTGGTAATGTTTTAAATTTCTTTCCTGATTATTTTAGGATTTCTGTTCAACTTATACGCAATTTCCAACGCTGCGTTCCCGACATTTCTTTTTCTTGTTTCGCCTTTGAGGTTATATCTTTCTTCTACAGTATTAATATCTCTGAAATTATGATATAAATATTATTGATTATACTATTAACTATATAGATATCTTACAAGGATACATTATTAGCGGCCACGATCTTAAACACATTAGAAGTGCTGATGGCAAATGTTGATAGCAAACACAGAAAGGAAACTACAGGGCCTCCTACAGAAGGTAGTAAAGGAAAGCTAGAAGAAAGGACTAAGCATCAATTGTAAAAAAACAAAATGGATGGTTATCAGCAAAATGGGCAGCCCAACGTGCGAATTACAAATTGGAGATAACAAAATCAAGCAAGTACAACAATTTAAATATCTGGGAAGTGTTTTAAAGTGTTAAAGTGCGACACTGAAACCCGAAACGCATGAGGATAGCGAAAGATGCCTTCCAAAAGCTGAGCAAAGTATTAGGAAACAGGAAAATTTCATTAAAAAAAAGAAGAAGAGTTTTGAACAGCCCAAGAAACCAACTTCGAAGTACAGAAGTTTAAAAATCTGGGAAGTGTTTTAACAGAGAATGGAAAATATGACACCAACCGCCGATAGCGAATTGGAATAGCCAAAGACACCTTCCAAAATCTAAGCAAAGTATTAAGAAACAGGATAATTTCATTGAAAAAAAGAAGAATGCTGAACTGCCCAAAAACCAACTCCAATATATATTATGGGCACGTGGTCGAGTCGTTAGAATGTTCATATTCTGACCATGAGACCCGGGTTCAAATCTCACCATGGTCGATTTGTCAGAAAGGAGACTTCCTGATGTTATCGAATTGGAGCACCTTTGGAAAGTGCCGGAAAACCATATCAGGGGTTCACCCAAGCCTTGTAGGTGAAATTGGGTAGACGGAACCCTTGGATAGGAACCGTCAATAGGTGTGCTAGCACGAAGTCACAAGTCATCGTGACCGAGTGCTTGTTCAAATTGTTGATCACGCTAGATAACACGCTCTTTCCCAGAAACTGTAACTAAAGTCTGCTCAGCATAGTTGCAGTATAAACCATACGTGAGCTCTGTTATCCTCGAATAAGAGTGGCCAGCTATATATATATATATATATATATATATATATATATATATATATATATAATAAAAAGGCTTAAACACTAATATTCCATGGTCATAAGTTATTCCATTGGAATCGTAAATACAATCCAATTCAATCAGACCAACAAATTCAAAAAGAAAACACAAAAAGCAACTCCGGGAATAAAAAATAAAATTTAGAGAGAGTGTATGTATGAGAGTGTGGGACGAATGTCAGAGTAAATGAAAGCTATAATATACAAATATAATATATGTATGTATGTATGTATATATATATATATATATATATTTATATATTTTAGATATATGATTGCATATTATGTGTATATTTACCACTAATATTTAATCATCTATCTATATATATATATATATATCTATCTATCTATCTATATATATATATATATATATATATATACATATTTTGTATACATGTGTTTGAGTTGACATTTCTGGGTTTTTTTCTTTTTTAACCAATGAAATTAATATCAACCGGCTTAGATCGAGAACTTCTAAAGAAAAATCTCGACAGCAAACGATTCTGATTCCCCTTTTCCCCATTAAGGAAACAACTCTTATAGCCGAAGCGTGCCGTTACCAATTTAGCCACGGGAGACCGTCATGGTAAATCACGGTTCAATTGATTACTTAAGGAATGAACATCTCTCTTCGCTATTTCCTCGAAATTATATCTGCTTCTTTTTTTTTTCATGCCTGAAATATAAACACATTTTTTTGTTTAAATGGATTTTTCAATCTGGCATTAAGTCTTATTACTATAAACCATGTACTCGCTAAAAATGACCTTTGTAGCAATATATATATATATAGAGAGAGAGAGACAGACAGACAGACAGAGAGAGGGAGAGAGAGAGGTAGATAGATAGATAGAGAGAGAGAGAGAGAGAGAGAAAGAAAGAAAGAGACAGAGACTTGTCCTTTCCAAAATATTTTGCCTAAACAACATATTTCCGACATATTGCTGAGGCTTTGATAATATGTATTTCCTCAAAATAAATGACTGTAAATAAACCACCCGTTCACGTAAGATCACAGAAGTTAAGCAACGTCAAGCCTGGTCAGTACCTAGAGGGGTGACGGCTTCGGAATGCCAGGTGTTGTAAGCTTGGATATGCGGGTGGTATGGCTACACCATGTTGAAACACCGGTTCTCGTACGATCACAGAAGTTAAGCAACGTTAAGCCTGGTATACATGAAATATCAGGTATTGTGAGCTTGGTTGTGCTGGAGGGCTAATGAATAATGGCTCAGAATAGTTAATCGGAGAGCTGAGTTCCAATTCCCGTTGAATTCGTTGTATTCACTGACGTGCAAATACTTTTGGGAAAGGTATGAATTCACATCTTCTTCCTCCAGTTATGGGTTAATTAGTAAGACTTGTTTCACAAAAGCATTATATCACCAAAAGAAAAATTCTTACAATCTTATAAAGAAAATATTACCTATGTTTAAATAACTCGAGTTGATAAAACGTACAAAACAAAGAATCTAGAGTAAAAGTGTAAATAAATTAAACATCGAACATACAATGGAACTTACAAATGAAACAGAAATAAACGATACATTACCTTTATTTGATATATATGAAGCTTATACATGACTTGTACCAAACAATTAAAAAAAAGTGTATATTTATTATTAATACTGTATATACACCACTGTACAAATTAATTGAAACAACTGCTTTACTTTCCTTCCTTTCACGATACGGTCAGTTTTAGACCCACTGGAATGACAGGATGTAATCGATTTCTATTTTTTCCTCAGATTAGGTCATTTGCAGTGGTGTGCCGTAATAGGAATCTATTTTCGGGGCGTAAGATTAAATATGGCCTTGAAAAATATTGCGTCATCCGTGATGGCATCAGATTTTTATCACGCCCAGACACTATTGACTCGACTGTCGATTAGTTGTCCTACGGCCATTGTCTGTGATGAACCTTACTCCAAGGAAGCGTGCGAAAATTGTAACGCTGCACGAACACACTGGCAAGCCTTACGAATAAGCAAATCAAAGTACTATAGATGGGCTCGGAAACTCTCCTGATTTAAATCCAATCGAGAATCTGTGGTCAACCTTCGTGGAATGGACATACGAAGCACTAACAAGTACACTGGGTCATGTTTCATTGGAAAAAATACGAAAAAAGTAAATAATAACGGAATTATTCGTTTTGTTTCAATTAAATTGCACAAGAGTGTAGATTTAAACATACACACACACACATACACACACACATATATATATATATATATATTAATTATTAGGAGGATTTGATAATTATATTTAATTAATTCATCGAGTTTGATAGAAACCTCAACAGAATGCAGAAAGCACTGGACGGCCGTTTCCATTGTTTGAACCGGCTTCTAATGCTCTAGAGTGTTTTTTGGTGAGAGTTATCGTGGCTCCAGGGGGCACAGTCCTATGGTTACAGAGAACTCAGTAAGAGTTCCATCACGGAATATGTGAACGAGCGGCGCTATGTTGAGTCTGATTCACAATCTCTTCGTCACCGAGGCCCATTGGAACAGTTGGTATGATGTTTGCTTAACAACCTAACTGTCAGGGTTTCAATTCTCGGTAGTGGATGCGCACTGCTGATGAGTCCCAAATATAGGACGAAACGGCCGTCCAGTTCTTTCTGCATTCTGTTGAGGTTTCTATCAGACTCGATGAATTAATTAAATATATGCATAATGTCAATGTGTACCACTTTTTCAATTAAAGGGACCTAACTCTCTAACTTTAAATATCTCATGCTATAGAAATTTTGGATTCCCAAGTTTTCATTAGTGCGATTGTTTTCGCCCATTTTGTTATGTGATTTTTTGCAACGAATGGTGTTAACGTGGAAAAAAATTGGGAATAATCGAAATTAATTTCGAAATCCAAAGGGGTTGATAAACCGTAAAAAACAAATCAGTCAAATCAATGAAATACTTATTAGCTACACAAGCATTTCTTTTAGATCTATTTGCATTATCTGCGTGTCTGTGTGTGTGTGTATGCGTTTTGTCCCATCGACCGATATCCTAATGAAAAGGTCTTGCAACTACTGTTTTGCACCGGTTGATAGGGAGAGAAATGAATGGATGAGCACCTCAGCAAGCGACTTTCCCAGTTTTACCTTACCGCTGATGATACCGGGTAGTAGCAGAAAAATGGCCTTATTTGCCAGGAACCAATATAATCTTTTGGACATACACAGATACACATTGCTAAAACCTAGTACAGCCTTATGTACTAGGTTTTATTATAGAGGCTAAGTATTCTTTATCTGAAAATCTCAAATCCAAAAACCTCCAAAATCCGAAAGTTTTTTCAGTGGCTAACATTGACTTGCCACCCACACTGTCGGCTGGGGCTTCAGAATACGCCGACTGCACCTCTGCAGAGAGATAAGACCCCGCCCCCCAAATGAGGCGTTCTGGGTAAGACGATAAACTACATCCGCGTCCTAAGACGATAAAGTACATCCGACAGGAAGGCTTCTGACCAGTAGGTTTTGAGGAGCGTGGAACCAACTCTTAATTGCCGATGTTCCCATGTCCACCCTGAGCCGAGGGTAAGGGTCCCAGCTATGGGCAAATAGTTAACTCCCAAACTGGAGCCAAAACGTTATGAAAGTATAAAAATAAGTTTTAATACCAGCAATACATTTTTGTAAAAAAATATTACCAGCAATGAATTTTGAAGGAAAAAATTATTACCGGCAATGAATTTTGAAGAAAAAAATTATTACTAGCAATACATTTTTGAAGAAAAAATTATTACCAGAAATGCATTTTTTGAAAAAAAACATTACCAACAATACATTTTTGAAAAAAATATTCCGAACAATATGTTTCTGAAAAAATATTACGAACAATATGTTTCTGAAAAAAACATTACCAACAATATGTTTCTGAAAAAAACATTACCAACAATAAAAAAAAAACTTTTCGGCATTAAATAACTCATTGAGGTTGATATGCCGTAAAACTAAACAAACCAAACCAAACCAAACTATGATTTGCCACAAACGGAAAATTTCAAAAAGCAACATGGCTACTCATAGCATGATTATTGTGTTGTAGCTTTACAAATAAAATGCGTACTTTTATTCAGTTTTCATTGCATTTAACTGTAATCAGAATCTGTTTTGTTTTTATACAAATACTGTACCTGTATGCATTTTAATCAAAATCATATATCATTGGTAGAGACTGATAGCTTACAGAATTTTCTTTCTCACACTTACAGTGATGTCATCGATGATGTACCCTCTCCCTCCAGTTATTCACACCTGATGTAGAAGTAGAATTTGGAGTTGCATTTATATATTTTTGTAAGTAATAATCATGTTTTTTTGTACACATACAGAAAGTACAAAACAATATTTTTACGTTAGATCTCAATTTCACCACTTAACAATCCATGTGAGCATTATATGACTAGCGTCATTATCTGTATCTGTATGTAAACAAAATTTATAAAATTTTCTATAAAAATACTTTGAGGGTATATATTATTTTTATAAAAATACCGTCAGGTATATGTATAAGCTGTGTTATGAAATGTAAAGGAATATCGTGTTTATACTTGAGTTCCATTGCGAAGCTGCCCCATTTTATAGATGCTCTATACAAATTGAATCGCCTGTATTTCAAAATCAAAAAAAAAAAATCTGAAAACCGAAACGCTTCCAGTCGCATGAATTTCGGATAAAAGATTTTCAACCTATACAAAATGACAGTCTATGTAACATATATAGCACTATACGCATGCTATATATAAGTTATGGGCAACCTTTTTCAAACAGTGGGTCGTATGAGATACATTACATCATAAGGCGGGCTGCACTACTAAAAAAAGGCAAGTCATTTTTCATTAAAGATACCGCAGCCATTTTCCCAACAAAAGAGCATGCGTATAAGCAACTGCCTTAGAAATGGCGGAAAGTCAATTTTTTTTTCTTTGGAGAAAAGATCCCTTCTGTAATTAAAACCCCCTAAAATCTTGGTAAAAAGGCATCCCTGATGACAGAGTGATTAACATACACTGTTGCGTATTCATTTGTTTCCCATTTATTAATTTGACTGTACAAAAATATTAGTAAAGAAGAAGTATATTGACTTTCTAGAGAAAAATAATTATCATTGATGTTTCGGTTAATTTACAGTATAAGCACCAAAAGCCCGCGGTATTGAGAATGTACCATTCTGGTGTGAAATTGTCTGGTTATTTCGAAAATGACATTAAAACATTGCGCTCGATTACCGTTTAGAAGTTATGGAGAATGTAAATTCGACTTCTTTCTCGTCGCGTACACAGAATGTCCGCCATTACGGGATTTGTTTACATACGTTTACCTCGAGTAGTCATGCGGTGCGGAAGCTTCACATATCTTGATTACTGCGCAATGCGCGAAGTTTGGAATGAATGCACGAAATAATATAATTATAGCAAAAGCGAAAGAGGGTTTTAAGAAAATAAGTAAGAGTTCGATAATAACAGTTTCTTCTCTCACATTTCTCGCTTGTGGAACTCACTTCCTGTTCCATGATTCTCAGTCAACTTTAATCTTCAAAAATTTAAATGAATATCAATCGCTCTCTACAGTCTTCCTGGTGACTCTTCTTTTGTTCTCACTCTTTAGTAATATTTCCATTTTCTAATTCTTTTACACCCAGTAACACCTTGTATCTTAGTGGCTTTAATGCCTTACTTGTTGTGAATTCAATTAAAAAATAATAATAATAAAATAAAAAATAATTAGAGATTATTAAATAATTTCAATTCAAATTAGTTTAGACCAAAAGTAGATAAAAAAAGTCATTAGACCAATATTGACTTGTCCACTAACTTATGAAGATTAACAGATGACAAATTGAAATATATATATATATATATATATATATTATAAATTAATTGATTTAAAATATTTTTTTTCGCTACACAGTTTCAACCATGTTTCAAAAATAGAGGCTAAAACCCCGAATTTGTAAAAAAAAAATATCTATAAGAACACCGGATTTTATATCTTACTGTTCTTTCTTTTTATATATATATATATATATATATATATATATATATATATATATATATATATATATATAT